GCCACCAAACTGTGTCACTCTGGATTAAAAACACCGCCCCCCAAAAATTATGAAAACTTTAATCCAAGTTTTGCTTTTGTTCCCCCCCAGTTAATCTACCCAGCTGCAAACTGGCAGACCGAGCTGGATGGGTCTCTGGACTCAGTCGTCGGAGCAGGCAGACGGAGAGGTAGAGTATAAAGACGAGGATGCCTCCTCAGTGAGGTGTTCGAATGGCCAAGTCACTAAAACTCACAATGTTATTAAAAAAAAACTACCGTATACAGACAGTTCTAACTCTGATAGACAAACAAAAACCCCATAATCCTCTTTGAAACATAAAAAAACACAAGATGGCTGCAAAAGTTGCTACATATGTCTGAAGCATCAAGTAAAAATGCTCCAAAAATCTTTTTTTTTTGTCTCTGTACAAAAAAAGGTTAAAAACACACAAAAGTATTTTCTCACCTATGTGACCTAGCATTATTTTTGTGAGTGAAGGTTTAACGGGTGTAAGAATGAGGAGTATTTTTATTTTTTTTACAGTTTTTCCTCTGAACCTCACTGTGGTTCTGTGGAGTAGAAAATAAAAGAACTGGGTAATTAAATCAACAGAAACATTTACATTAATAATAATCAGGTCTGGAGTTTTCGCCTTACATTTTTTTTTCATATGCAATGGTTAAGTAAAACACTAAAACTCTGTACAAGTTTGAGTTACTACAGTTTCCCCGAGTTTTGAGCATCTAAACATCTCCGCAGCTCTCCAGCTGTCCAAATCACTAAATGAATTGTGTTGCTTTAAACTGGGCCGTGTGTTTTCTTGTTGAGTTTTCCTAATAAAAGTCTCCCCCTGGGTTACAAGAAACTAACAGACACTTGGAAGTAGAGTTGCATTCGGGCCCAAAAAAATACGACCCGACCCTCATTTCCGAACCCCACCCAACCCGACGAATTAACAGTAATTACAGGTCCGAACTCGAAAAAAACCCAGACATTTTTAATTAAGCTTTGACTGCTTATATAGTTAATAACTGTCGGCGGACGCGCGCGGCTAAGGGGGCAGAAGATCAGAGCTGAGGGGGCGTTTGTCCTTTCATGGCCGTCAAAGCGCATTAAATCCCTGCTTCTGCCTGCATTCTGCATTATTCAGACACGGACCCTGCTCTGACATGTTGGATATTTTGGGATCTCACCCGTTTGGGTCTTCGGCCGCGCGCATCCGCCGAGTGCAGCTGAGTCTTTTTAAAATGACACCACCACCTTCTAAAGGAAAGAACAAAGAGGTCTCATTTGTTTCAATGTCCTTCTTTACTTTAATTAACTGAACTATTTTTTTTTTTTCAAACCTTTTTCGAGGCCGGCCAGAGCGCGGTGAAATGGACGAGTGCGGCTGGTGATTGTATGGCAAGCCACGTTGCCATATAATTGGATTGTCAGCCGCGCACGACCGCCGACGCAATCAAAAGCCCGACACTGGCCAACACATTAAGCACATTATTATGGCCCGGCCCTAATCTGGGTCGGGCTCGGGTTAGAAATGACAGGTCTACTTGGAAGTATGTTAGATTGTCAAAATAAAAGTCCACAGATGTCAAATTATTGTCTCGATGACCTTTCAAACTAAAACAAACCCGCTGTTTTATATTAATACGGCATCAAGTGCGGCAGCACTGACCAAAGCAGCAAACATAAAAGTACCAAAAGGTTTAGGTTGGCAGACTTGAACTTGAGCTGTCAAAATAAAAGCCCACATCCTACATCACAGGAAACCAGCACAAACCTTTGTTATTTTTACATTAAAGTAACAAGATGAAAAAAATTATTTAAGTGATTATATGCGACTCTGTAGCCGTACTCCTGTTTGACACACCTGACAAGTTTGTGAAGACAGTCTGGAGCTCAAACGACTGCATAAAGCCGACTGACGCTTTGAGAAACGTTTTGTTACATGCGTTTGTCTTTTAGTCTCATGTGTCCCTCCTTGTCCCCTCTGTCCTGCTTGCAAACAGGAAAATAGATTTCAGTAAAACTACATTAGAGGATCAAAGACGTGGAAAATCTTTAAAGCAACTCTGTTAAAAAGAACAAAAAAAAACTATTTTGCATTGAAAATTGAGTTAAAATGTAAAAACACAAGCTGTTCAAGATGTCGAGGGTTAAATCCACAGACGAGAACATGAGAACTGGTTTGGTTTCATGATAGAAACCACAACATTTAGCTGCAAAAATAAAAGTTTAAACTCTAAGGACTGTACCAGGGACGTGGGCGGCCTGTCACATATTCACTCCTGAGACCGGACCGGATGTTTTCCAGACAGGTAGCGATATCCGGGATGTTTCTGGGAAGCCATTTCCTGTCCAGGTAACATCCAGACAAGTCTGCGTTTTTAATACATAACTGTCATGTGCTCTTAAAACTGTGGTTTGTCTAAAAATCTGGATTTTTTAACAACTTACGGGGAAATATAAGATCACATTTAGTTTGCAACTCGTAAGTATTTTGTTCGCCAGCTCATCTTCAAACCACCTAAAACTTCATTCTACCACACTGCACTCCAAATCCAGTAACGTTAAGTTTGATAATCCTGTCATTTCTTCAGGATAAATAAACAACAAATAACCAAAGAAAAATGTGTTTTGATACCTTTTTCGTGCTTAACTGCACGGCTCTGTTTCAATGCAGCCGTATGAAAGTTTCAGAATAAACGGAGTTAAAACTTACATGGAAGGATTAAAAACAGTCGCAGCACGTTCTGAACCAAGCAGAAAGGCAAGAAGTGAGTGAGTGTCCGACGCACCACAACAAGCTTGTCTGAGTGACATTTTACATTCAGATCGTTTATGTCGTCGTGATTTTCATAGATACCAAAACATGAAAATAATTCACCAACACCTCACCTTAAAGGAATAGTTCACACCCAAATAAAGCTAGTAAAGCCTGCCTTATTCTCTAATCAAAAACTGTTATTTGGATGAAAAAAAGTTTAGGTATTTAACATTTATTAGGAAGTTGAGTTAAAGTAATACTGGTAGATAGTAGCATAATTAATCTCCTTTTAGCTCGTTAACCCCTGAAGGAAATGTCTCTTTCTTTTGCCTTCGACGACGACAGTCGTCGCTCTCTCCCTCCTGCTTTTTTTGCTCTTGTCCCGTCAACCTCAGAGCCTCTCACATCTTCCGAATCAAAAATTATTATGGATTTGGTCAGCTGGTCCCTGAACGTAATTGATCAATTTTTTCCACCAGACAACAGGGTGCTGGAGAGCCCTCATGCCCCGAACGGACCCACGCAGCTGGGTATGTCATTGATTCCTGGGGCGAGTAGAAGATGACGTGCCTATCTGTGCTGTCTGTGGAGACCGCAGAAGATGTGTACATTATTGGCTTTATGACAACAGGGTTTCTGCTTTTTGGACTCATCGAATACCAAGGATATCGACAAATTAGGAAGATGTCTGCAGCAGTTTTGGCTGTGGTAAAGCTACCAGCCTTATGTGAAGGATTAATTCGTGCCTCGAGCTCCCAGACTCATATGCTTATCGAGCTCAATCGCAAGTTGAATGCGATTTCTGAGAATCGTAGGCCACTTGCGGCTCCTGGAACTCGCCAGCATGAAGAATTCAATCTTGGAGAATGTTAAATTGAGCACGGACCAGGCGGAATGTCCACCAATCTGGCTGTTTGGATTCACCATTGAGTGCAGCAGAACTTGAAGGTCCAGAGGCCCAAACACTTGTTGTTTATCTGAATTTGACCTCCCCGCTGGCCTCAGACAGACCAGCGTATCTCAAATTGTTCCTGGAGGATACATAAACTAGAAGCTTCTGCCTGCCCCCCATCCCAAGGACATCTGTACCTTATCAGAACCATGACGCTGATAGACACTGTACCATCTTATCAGAACTTTGGAACTTTCTGGAATGTTTATTAATAACTCACCGGCTTTGTCATCCTCTATGCATAAATGTATTATGATGTCATTGTATGTTGCCGATTTGTTGCGAGGTCTTTTTTTCCATCATAATGTTTCCCAGCCAGGAAATGGTGAGACAATTTTTTTTTGCTTCCTCCACCCTCGTATTCTCTTTTTCTCATTTGCCTGTATGTTGCATGTAACAGGTCTCTCTTGCAAATGAGTCTTCAAGGCTCAATGGGAACTAACATGTATAAATAAAGGTCTAATAATAATTACAGCCTGATTCTTGCAGTTTGTACAGTTCTTAAACCCTTGTCTCACTTCCTGTGTTGCACTTTTATCCGTTCCCCCATCCACACTGAAAACAAAACCACACGCTTCACACAGACACCAGCATTTCTGCGAGTCTGGACGTACACCTTCCTGAACTTGGGAACGGATTCTTACAACCTCACCATCGCACCACCACCACAATCCCAGTGTTCTGTTGAAACCAGCTCTGCAAATATAAGAAATAGTTAGAATTTTATTTTGTTTGCTTCTTCCTAACTTGCAAAACTGTCAGAATTATAAACAGATCATTCTAGACTGACGCGCAAAAGAGCCAATATCCAAACGTTCACTTTAGGCTGAACTATTCCTTTAGAAGTGATCACAACTAAAAGTTTCTATGCTTTTCTCTCACAGAGCAGTTCGATCGGTAAAGATACATGTTTATGTGTATTATTATAATAATAAGTACAATGTAAGAGTACAAGTGTGTTAGAATACAGTACAGCTTGGAATAATAAGACAAACATGAAGTGAGGTATAAATACAGCCATGTTCTGTAAAAGGCTTCAGCTGAATAACGAGGATTTGTTCAAATATTTGCTGCACAAGCTTTAAAAAAATGAGTGAAATACTATTCTTCACATTACTAATAATGCGTGAAAGTCTACAAGCTTTTAATTTGGACTATTCCTCTAAAAACAGTTCTACACCGAACAACAGAAATTACATGTTAATATAACATTTTAGATGACTAATTTGATTTGTAGTAACCATATTTATGGTTAAAATAGAAGTAGCTTTTTTACGAGCAGAGGTTAGTTCTCTACATATGTACACACACTACCAGCAGGGAAGAAATATTTACAAAATGAGTAGCAGCATTTTGGAAAACCGTGACGGCTTTGAAATCCAAAGAAAGTCATGTTTTTAAAAATCTCTTTTCATATTGTTGACGTCAGTAAAATGTTACCTCGATATATTTGTTTTGCCAAATGGAATTTAGAGGTTTTAAATCCAGCTGAGCTCTTTTTTTTTTTTTTTTTGTAGTTGTAGAAGCCGTTTGTGGAAAAAGGCTACAAAAAAAAAAACGTTAGATGTGATGGAAAGCTCGATGTAAAGATTACATAAAAAAAGGGATTTAAAGAGACTGCTGTTATCCTGTGTGATTACCGGGTATTTCTTTGTTTGTTTGCAGCTGCCAGAGACTTTTTTTCCTCTGTGTGCACCACTTACATGTAACTGTGTGCGTGTTGGAACAAAAAACAACTACTGGTGCACCCTCGGTGAAGACAAGTGTCTTTGTGTTTGATGGAAGTGTGCAGTGGAGCACCAGGACCAGAAGGGGCCGCTGGGAGACCCTAGAGGGCCGTGAGGCGACCCGTGAGCGCAGCCTGGAGCTCCGATGGGAGGAAGACTCCCAGCTCTGTGATGATGCCTCCTGTGATGAGCTGATGAGGGGTCACGTCGAACGCCGGGTTCCACACTTCAATACCTGACAGAGAAAGGGTTTATTTAGTTACAGACGGAGGTTGGTCAGGCTGTCATTTCTTAATAAAACACCGATTTGTGTAAACCGTGGTTCTTGGAGCCCACTGGCCTGCATGTTGGTGTTTTTTTTCCCCTTTACTTTAATATGAGTGATTATTCATTCATATTTCACAGTGTTGTTAATATCCACAATTGTCATTAAAGGATATACACAAGGTGACTTTAACAAACTGTTTTTGTGTGTTCACTTCATGAAGGGGATTACAACATGGTAAAGGACTCGTTTTGATCAGGGATTGGTCTATTTATTATTTTAATTTTTGACCTCTCCTCTAATACTGTATACATACATGTACCTCTACATATGATTTAATGTAATGTATCTTTAATTATTTTCTCTGTGTAGTGAAAGCTAATTTTCTTTATATCAGTAATTTAACTTTGTTTCTAAGTCATAAGAACTTTTGAGCCAAGACAGGCTGAAAGTAAAATTTCCACCTCTTTTCAGAGGATGTCCTTGTGATGAGACAAAACTTTCAAAGTACACGCCAACTGGGGCCGAGATGGGGTAGAGGCAGGGCAGCTGACTTAGGAATAGAAAGTCGCGGTTAGACTCCCAGCCATTCCCACATGTTGTGGTGTCTGAGCAGGACACCTAATCCCTAATTGCTCCCCGGGCGCTTGCACAGCTGCTCACTCCTCCACCTGGGTGTATCTCAGGTGCGATGGGTTAAATGCAGAGAACCAATTTTGTCATTGTATGGGAACATACAGTGATGACAATCTCAGACTTCCCTTCCCCAAATCTGAAGTTAAAACTAGACGCGCTCTTGTTTAGATAGGCGGAGACAAAAAGAAAGATGGCGAGGAAAATGTTGAAAAACAAAAAAAAATAGATGAGTTACAATACCGAATAAGAAAGTCCATGCTCAATAATCCAGGATTACAATTCAACATTTTTCAGTCAGTTCATCTGGGCAGTTTCTTTTTTGTGTGCTGAAATGTTTCGTTTTCAATCCAGAAGGCTTCATCAGTCAAGAAACACACAACACAAAACTGATTCTTCCCCCAACAGCTTACTCCAAAGTGGAACAAACCAGTTATGTTGGTGATAAGTTGGTCTCTTTGTCACGCCCCCTCCTCCATTGTTGGCCCTCTTCCTTGTTGACAGTTGTGCCAAACTGGTTGAAAACAACAAAGTCCATGCTCAATAATCCAGGTATACAATCCAACATTTTTCAGTCAGGTCATCTGGAAAAAAAAGAAACTGTCCAGATGACCTGACTGAAAAATGTTGGAATACCGAATAAGATTTTAAAGTTTTAATTGAAGACTGCCTGAAGGCAGCCACCTGTTATTATCCACCTGAAAAGGATCTTACTCTTCCTTCAACTTTAATGCGGTCCGATCCGCAATGTGTACCCCACAAATGCTATATCAAAATGACCAGCTCGGCACCGCGATGTGTGCTGTTACTTTTGTGTTTCGAGTTACCAAAGAAACGTAGTTTGCAAATAAATACGCCATTTTTCTCATTAAAAACACTTGACAGGACCGTTCGCAGCTTCCAAGTGTTACAGTGAGGTCACATGACCTAGAGTGAAGAGGTCTCTGAACAAATCAACGATCAACTTTTAGAGCCATTTTGGTTCAAGATGGCTGCCACAGCTACCTAAGAAAACACAAAATTGTCTATAACTCAGTTATTCCTTGAGATATTTAGCTGAAATTTGTTATAGCTGAGAGCATCTAATTATATATTCCTAATGCAAATTTAAAATCCAAGATGGCCACCTTAGCTAAAAGGGAAAAACTACGACAGCTTAGCTATTTTAAAAATATATTGAGCTGAAATTTGGTTTGGTGGCACCTGACAGCCATGCACAACACATTCTGAATTCAAATTTAAAAATGCAAGATTGCCCCCGAAGCCAATTTCAAATTTTTGTTTAAAACTTTAGCATGCAAGGAAGCGAGCAATACGCATTCCTTCAAGAAATACCAATTTAATTATTTGATGAGGGTGGGGAAGAAAAAAAAGGAGATTAGAGAAAAATGCACATGCTCACATCTGCCCCTCCTGAGACGGTGTCCTCATTAAAACACTCTTAATTACTGTGATGTCACCAGGCACATCTCAGCTCAATTAGAGGACTAATGGATCCAATTATTCGTCACTTAAAACACTAAAATCTACTCTCGGACTCTTGACCCTGATGACCTCATTTGTGCTGGCAGCAGATAACTTATATAAAAATAAAAGAAACGTTAACAGACTTAAAAAAAATGCTTTTTCTTATACAACCTTGTTCTCTTCACTGTCATTACTCTTCTGCTCTACTTGTTATTTAGGAACTTGCGTTTTACTTTGTAGTTTAAAATGCGTCTTTTTGCCTCTCACTTCTTACCAGGAGCAGCGATGGGAACTCCGTTTATACTGGTGAGCTCCTCAGGGGGGCGCACTTCAATGATGATGTCTCTCCCGCTCTCCAGGCTCAGATCGCAGGATGTGCTTGGCGCCGCCACATAAAAAGGGATGCCGTGGTGCTTTGCGGCGATGGCCAGCTGGTACGTGCCCACCTTGTTGGCTGTGTCTCCGTTGGCAACCACCCGATCCGCACCTACAACCACGGCTGCAAGAGAAAACAGGACGTTTCAAGATTAACGTTTGAATAACGTGACCAGGATGTGATGCCGTGCTCAGAAACGCACCCGTGATGTCCATTTCTCTCATGGTGAGCGCCGCCATGCTGTCTGTGATAAGAGTAGCAGGTATTCCCTCTGCGACCATCTCGTACGCCGTCAGTCTGGACCCCTGGTTGTACGGCCGCGTCTCCGTGCAGTAAACGCGCTTCAGCCTGTTCAGAGCATGAAGACTTCTCACCACGCCTGCACACAGAACCAGCATTACACTCAGTGCTCCACAAATGCTTTCACAGCCTGCCTGGATTCATATCCAGAGCTCCAGTCTCACCCAGCGCCGTCCCGTATCCAGCTGTGGCCAGCGAGCCGGTGTTGCAGTGTGTCAGGATGGTCACGGAGTCCCTCGGGACACCCGACAGGATGTGCTGGGCTCCATAGTTACCGATCTTCCTGTTGTCATTGACGTCACGCTCCAGCATGTCTTCAATCCAAGCAATTACACTGTATGGGGGGGGGGGGGGGGGGGGG